AGGAATCCACCTAACAGTGAATGTACAAGACTGCGCTGGAGAATAAAAAAAGTTAACACTATTGAAGGACATAAAGGGAAACCTGGAAAATGAATAAATATACCATGTTCTGTGGAGGAGAAAATTTAATGTTGTAAAGCAGTCCACTGTCTTCAAATTAATCTATAAATTCAATGCAATTTCTATCAGAATACTGGCAAATTCTTTTCTAAAGAATCCAGCAAACTGATTTGTAATTTTATGTGAAAAGATAAAAATCAATTTTGAAAAAGAAATTTTCAAAAGATGGAGTGCTCACCCTGTTAGGTAGTCAAACACACTGCAAAACTGATGTAGTAAAATCAGTGTTGCATCAGCAGAGAATGGCTCTAATAAAATGATAAAAGAGAACTTAAACATGACATGAAACATTAAAGAGAATTCGAAGTTTATAGATGGTAAAGATGATGCTACAGGGGAAAGAGAATTGCTTAAGAGATGGGGTTATTCACTAGTTGGAGAAAAGGCTGGATTTTGTATTAGTCTGTTTGAGCTGTCATGACAAAGGACCACAGAATAGGAGGCTTAAACCATAGAAATGAATTTTCTCACAGTTCTGGAGGCTGGAAGTCTAAGATCAACATGTCAGCAGGGTTGGGGTAAGAGGTCTCTCCTTAGCTGGTAGATGACTGTCTTCTCACTGTACTCACTGTACTTTCACTTCTCATGGCCTTTCCACTGTCCTTATACAGGGGCTGGCGTGGCAGGGAGAAAAAGAAAGAGGCAACGGGCTCTGATGTCTCTTCCTTTCTTCCTTTTTTTCCTTCCTTTTCTTAAAAGGATAGCAGTCCCAGGGCTTCCCTGGTGGTCCAGTGGTTGAGAACCCACCTTCCAGTGCAGGGGACCTGGATTTGATCCTTGGTTGGGGAACTAAGATTGCACATACCACAGGGCAGCTAAGCCTGAGCACCGCAATGAGAAACCTCTGTGGTGCAACAGGAGATGGCCACAGCGCCGTAACTAGAGAAGCCCGGTGAGCCACAACGAAGACCCAGCGCAGCCAAAAATTTTTTTAATTAAAAAAATAAAAGGACAGTAGACCCCTATTGGAATGGGGCCTTACCCTATGACCTCATTTAATCTTAATTACCTCCATTATGTCCCTATCTCCAAATATAGTCACAGTAAGGGGTCACGGCTTCAACATATGAATTTTAGGGGGACCCAATTCTGTTCATAACAGTCTTCTTCATACCATATATAAAAGTAAATTCCAGATGGATTAAAGACTAAATACTAAAAAAAAAAACTGCAAGATTAATAAGAGAAATGAAGATCCTTGTGATCTTGGAATGGGAAATTCTTCTCAAGCAAGCCTCAAAAGCACCAAGTATAAGGAGAAATTTTTATGAATTTAACCACATCAAAATTTAGGATTTCTATCAATAAAGTTCACAACAGATAAAGCTAACAGAAAGCTTTATATACAGTGAAGTCGCTCAGTCGTGTCCGACTCTTTGCGACCCCATGGACTGTAGCCTACCAAGCTCCTCCCTCCATGGGATTCTCCAGGCAAGAATACTGGAGTGGGTTGCTATTTCCTTCTCCAGGGGATCTTCCCAACCCAGGGATCGAACCCAGGTTTCCCGCATTGGAGGCAGACGCTTTAACCTCTGAGCCTACAGTAGCCACATCCAAAACCTGTCTAACAATGGGTTTATTATCTAGAATATTAAAAGGAATTCTTGAAAATCCAATAAGAAAAACACAGGAAAGTCCAATAGAACGCTGGACCAACACTATCAATAGGTGATTCCCAGGAGGGGAAACAAGAATGACTATCAGGTATATAGAGAGATGCTCAACTTGTTGATAGTCAGAAAAATCCAATGTAAAATAGCTGTATCCCTTTATAGTTCTGTACTATCAGATTGACAAAAATTAGAAGTCTAAGAGGACTTCCCTGGTGGTCCATGGCTAAGACTCTGCTCCCAATGAAAGGGGCCCGGATTTGATCCCTGGGCGGGGAACATGTAGCAACTAAGAGTTTGCATGTCGCAACTAAAGATCCCATGTGCCACAACTAAGACCTGGTACAGCCAAATAAATAAATAAATAAATATATATATATATTTAAATTAGAAGGCCAAATAAGTACAAGGGTTGGTAAGGATTTGGGATACTTCAATGCACTGTTGGTGGGTACACTGCAAAATAGGGAGCAATCTGACAGGACCTGGTCAATAAGTGTGTGTATGTCCTATGACCTAGCAGTCTCAGAGAAGCTCTTTTTCAGGTCTACAGCTAGAGATGTATAAGGATGCTCACTGCAGCATTATTTGCAGTGGCATGAAGTTGGAGGCAACATACGTATCCAACACTGGAAGAGTAGATAAATAAAATGTAATGGATGCACTCTATAGAATTCTATGCAGCAGGAATAAGAGGGAAGAAAGAAAGGTTAAAAGGTACACTGCACATATTTTATCAAGAGAACAAGATTTTTCCAGGAGCCTCACCCATTAGAGTGCTGCTTGCATTTCATTGGCCAAAATTGTGTTACTTAGACTTACCTAACTAAAAGGTGACTAGAGAGAATGGGGAGTTATGGATAGGGACTGCATTATCTATCAGTGATGTCTAACAAATAATCCAGTTGATTTCTTCCAAATGCTGCACAAAATCCATAGTGTATATTCACCACATTTTGCTGTGATGGCTAGAGGTATAGCAGCCATCTTGTGACCATGAGGGAAAGTCAAGAGACTCCTAGAGAAGACCTTGAAATCTTAAGTTACTAAATCAACATCAACAGCTTCTTATCCCTGAACTTTTTATCTTGTATGAAGAATAAATCTCTATTTGTTTAAGTCACATGTGTCAGAGTGTCTGTTCAATTACAGACAATAGAAATAAACCTGGCTAGTTTAAATGGAGAAGCAGGCTCTAGGTCCAGGAACAACTCCCAGCTTTAAGAGGCACATGACCTCTGCTTGTGATGGGGAAAACAACAGTCATTACTACAGGAAGCCGATGAATCAGGAAGCTACTCACCAGAATCCCCCTGCATCTATCATGATCTGTGACAGCAAAACGGATGTCCCATGCTACTTAGCTGTATTCCAAATTTATGTCTCACACAAGAGCAGAACATAAATCATAGATTCCTAGCTCACAAGAATCTGGGAGGTGTCATTTTAGCTTTCCAGCATCTGCAGTTTTGGATGGATGTTGAACAGTCAGTCTGTGGCAGCCACCACACCGCTGAGGTCAGTTTTTGATTACTTACAACCAAAAGCACTCCTGACAGATACACTGCAAGGAATGCAACAAGGACAGAACCTGAAAACATAGCGCTGAGTGAAGAGAACAAACACAATGAGATTAGCACAATCTAAGGTGTTAGTTAAAGTGAAAGTGAAAGTCACTCAGTGGTGTCCAACTCTTTGCGACCCCATGGACTATACCATCCATGGAATTTTCCAGGCCAGAATATTGGAGTGGTTAGCCTTTCCCTTCTCCAAGGGATCTTCCTAACCGAGGGATCGAACCCAGGTCTCCTGCATTGCAGGTAGATTCTTTACCAGCTGAGCCACAAGGGAAGCAAGGTATTAGTTAAAACAGACACAAATCAACACTACCTTTCTCAATGAAATGTACATTTTCAAGGATATTTGTGTCAATTGGTAAAGGAAAGGAGAATGGGCTCCGGGGATCAGGGAAGAAAGAGATAAGTCAAATAAAGTAAAGTAAAACAAGAGAGAGATCTTATACAGTCTTATAATTGAACTGATATAAGCAGAGGAATATGACTTGCTCCATTTTCTACACCTGAGGCCCAAAAACAATTCATTAAACTTGATATTTATTAGTAATTTAAAGAATGGTTTGACAATACTTCATTATTAATTTAATAAATAATTATAAGTAAACAATTTACATAATCAAATAAATTCATTTAAATATCAACACAATTTAAATATTTCATATTTAATTTACCACAACAAACTAATCCCGTAAACTTTCTATATCATAATTTTTGTGCCCTTAATTAAGCAATTCTTTATACTTTAATCTCTCCAGAACCTCAAAAAATAGATCCAGGTGACCCCTGGAACCCCCATTTCCCTCCAGCCCCTGTTTGGTGAGATGTCAATAGCACCCTCTTCCACCACCGCCCCATCACCAAGACCCCGCTCCACCAAGGAAGAAGGGACTTCAGCTTTTGAGACTGAGTCTGGGGACATCGCAGCCCTTCCACGATCGAAGGATCGGTTTCTGATAGAGCCAGCCTCCCCTGAAGGCGCAAGGTGAGTGCGTCGGCTGAGATGGGGTGCTTACTCTCAGAACCGCCTCCGCGGGGGCGGAGCTGCCCTGACTAGGCCCCGCCCACCCCGGGCAGGCTTTTGGGGCGGGTCTCTGTCATCTTGGAGAGGAGAGCGCCGGCCCCGCCTTGCCCGCCCCCCCCCCCCCCCCGCCCCCCGCCTCCCGCACCGCCTCCCCTCAACTAACCCGGCTTGATCCAGCTCAGCTCCGAGGTGTCTGAGGCAGCTTTTTCCGTTAAGGCGAGCCATCTGTTACCAGCGTTGCTTCCTGGGGCGGATAGTCCACCTCGACACACGCCAGAGACACGGTGAGTGTGCTTCCAGGAGTCTGGGGAATGCTTTGGGCTCCAGGCTGGGCCCCAGCAGTGACTGCCTGCTAGGGACCCTGCGAACCCCAGGTAAGTTCCCATGGGAAAGAGAAGACCGCTCCTCTCCTTGAATCTCACTAGGATCCTCGCTTAATAGTGAAGGACTCCTGTCCTCTTAAGACTCTTGCAACTCTCTGCCAGGGGTTTGTCCTCTCTCCAAGGTAGATGGGACGGGAGTCTCCAGCAAGAAAAAGCTCTCCCCAGGGCCAGTTGGGCAGTCACAACTGCTGGGGTCCCTCTCCAGGTCCAGGGAGAACACTGTTCCCCTCATCCTGTGTTATAGATGTCAACCGCGTGAGAAGGAGCCATTCGCCTTCTTGGCTGCAAGATGGAAGACCAGGAGCCGACCTGGCAGAAGGGAGGGCTGGATGCATCTGAGGCCCTGTCCTGCCCGGACAGTGAGGCCTCTACCCCAAGCTGCACACTGGGGGCCCTGTACTGGGCCTGTGTCCACAACGACCCTGCCCAGCTGCAAGCCATGCTGGAAGATGGGGTCTCCCCAGAGGAAGCCACCCAGGTGGATGGCAACGGGAGGGTGAGCCACACCGGGGGGCTTGGCAGGGCAGCGAGGGCACTGTGAGCTTCAGGGTCAGCACCCATCACCTGGGTCCTCAGGAGGGAGTGGGTAAGAGTGGGTCTTCCCAGGGCCTGGGACATCTCTGAGACGGTTGTGGGTTTAGAGGACCCAGGGCCCCCATGGAGCTCCTGGAGGAAACCACAGAGGCTGAGCTGCCCCTCCTCCAGACAGGCCTCATGGTCGCCTGCTACCATGGTTTCCAAAGTGTGGTGGCCCTGCTCAGCCGCTGTCCTTTCCTGGATGTGAACCAGCAGGACAAAGAAGGGGACACAGCCCTCATGCTGGCTGCCCAAGCAGGTGAGGGGCTGCTAACCCCATCCTTAATCAGTAGTCCCGCTCCAGACCCAACCATAGCCCCACACTGTCTGCAATGATGTTCTCCCACCCCAGACGCTGCCTTGTTGGATGGAAGGTGGGTTTGGGGCTTTATCATCCCTTTCTTGAGTAGCTAAGCTCTGCCTTTGGTGCCTTGTAGGCCATGTGTCTCTGGTGAGTCACCTGATCAACTACTATGCAGGCCTTGACCTGGAGCGCCGGGACCAGCGGGGACTGACCGCACTGATGAAGGCTGCCATGCGGGATCGCTCAGAATGTGTCGCTGCCCTCCTCATGGCAGGTGCATGGGGCCTGGACCAGGATCTGTGTCCTTGAGTCCTTCCCCCATCCCTCCCCACCAGCACTGTCTGCTATCATAGTTGCAATGAGAGAGATGGAGAAGGAAGATCAATCCAGGCTGGCCTCCTGGAGTGGTGGGGAGTGTGCTGGGGCTTCTGATAAAGGGTCCAGCTATTGAGAGCTCTGTTTACACTGTGAATGATGGTCCCGGAAAAGAAAGGTTGGGAGGATAACTGGACCAGCTAGATAACCTAATACCAAAAAAAGCTGGAGTCTGGAACCAGGTTCTTGAGTTCTCATCCCAGCTGTGCCACCAACTGGGTGATTGAGGGCTAACGGCTTCCCTCTCTGAGCATACCCAGGGTAACGAGAGTGATGGCCTTCTCTGGGCTGATTTCCAGCTCTGAGGAGCCAGGGTTCCAGGAATGCAGTGATGGATGGTTGAGATGTAGGGGCAGTGTAGAGTTGTTCTGGGGTGAAGTTCACATTGTCTGTGCACTCTCAGACCATCATTACTCCATGAGGTGGGTCTCCCCTCTGTTGTTCACTCTGGGGACCCCCAGCCTTCAGCTTTTCCCTTCCCCATTGCATCAGACTGGGTTTGGAGTCAGAAGAGAGGAAGGTCTGCACCCCCTCCTTTGTTTCAAAGTGACAGCCTCTCCCTGCTTCCCAGGATTAGGGGGGTGTGGTGATGAAGGGCGGAACCAGGAGTGGGAACCAGCAGGATCCCCTCACCTGCTCCAGGGACCCCCACCCCATCCTGGGCAACCTGCATACCATCCCTCTGGTGAGTGCCTTAGCTCAGGGGGTCTCTGTTCTACACCAGGTTTGGAGACCCTCCCCCCCCAGGAGGTCTCTCTGAAGTCTGTTCCCCTCTCTGGACTCCAATTTCTTCATCAGTCCTAAACCAGAAGTTGAATGTGGGGCTGGTACTGACCCTGGGCTGTAGCCACTGAGGATCCTCAGCTCCAGCTGCAACAGGATGAGACACTCCATCCTGTTGCTAAAGAATCTGTCCTTCTGCAAGTCAGCATGACACCCCTGTGCCCCCCACCCCCCAGGTGCTGACCTGACAGCCGTGGATCCTGTCCGGGGCAAGACCGCCCTGGAGTGGGCGTTTCTGACAGACAGCTTCGACACGGTGCAGAGGATCCGGCAGCTGCTGCGGCGGCCCCAAGTGGAGCAGCTCAGCCGGCATTATCAGCCTGAGTGGCCAGCCTTGCCCGGGCTCGTGGCCCAGGCTCAGGCCTCCCCGTCTCTCCTAGAGCGACTGCAGGCCACCTTGACCCTCCCCTTTGCGCAGTCTCCTCAGGAAGGGGGTGTCCTGGACCACCTTGTGACCATCACCACCAGCCTGGCCAGTCCTTTCCTCACCACCGCCTGCCACACCCTGTGCCCTGACCACCCCCCCGCACTGGGAACCCGAAGGAAGTCTGTCCCGGAGCTGCTGGGCACTGCCCCGCCCCCGCCCCCAGCCCCCCAGCCCCCTCAGGAAGTCCCCGGCCCCCGGGTCTTCACCCCCTACCAGAGCCCTCAGGGTGTGCTGAGCATGTGCCCCCAGTGGCTCCAGCCCAGGGATAGTACCAGCCCCAGGCCCCGAGCCCCCAAGATCCTTCTCTCCAAGGCACCCTCGGCTGGCTTTCGGTGGAAGCCAGAGCCCAGGGCTTCAGGGAACCGCCGGCTGTCCCTTCCTGTCTGGAGATACCAGGAGCTCAGGATGGAGAGGAGGAGACAGGAGGAGGCCGGATTGGCACAGAGCCAGGGGAAGACCGGCTAGGCAGGGCTGGGAGCAGGTAACCAGGGCCCTCCCTCAGGCTCCTGTGCCCTCCAGAGGCCCTTCAGCCTTCCCTCAGCTTCTAAGCGGTTCTGCCCTCAGGCTGTGTACAGGGTTACTCATACAGCATTGTTTGCAACGATAAAAGAGTGGAAACAACCTAAGTGTTCATCCGTAGGGGGCTGGCTAAATTGATTCTGAGTATAAATACTGCATAACCTTATGATGTATTCTATACAGTGACAAAACAAGAGTAAGGAAGCTCTTTATATTCTGGTGTGAAACTACCTTCAAGATGTATTAAGTGAAAAAAACCAAAGGGTAGGACAGTGTATATTGCCTGGTACTATTTGTCAAAGCAAAATTTGCACCAAGGTAAACTTGACTAATATAGATACATAGTGAGATCCAAGATTTATTTAACTATTTAATGAGTAAACCAGCAGGATGGATCGAAGGAAGAAATGAGGACTTCCCTTGTGGTCCCGTGGTTAAGAGTCTGCATTCCCAATGTTAGAGGCCCAGGTTTGATCCCTGGTCAGGGAACAAGATTCCATGTGCTGGGACAGCCAAACAAATAATATTAAAAAAATAAACTTAGAAAAAAAGGAAGAAATGAAAAATTATTGACACTCGGGGGAAAAAGAATGCTTGAATAAGACTGCAAAATTAGATACAAAGAAATTAATTCCTACTTGGCAATAAAACCATAACTTTTTTTTTCCTACCTGCAAAAAAATTTGCTGTTCATCAATCTTCTACAGGTTAACCTCTTTATAGAGTCTACACACTAATCAATCAATAGCAAATCATGTAGCAGTTACTTCCCCTGGCTGACCCATAGGTGGGGTTATTAGTCAATGATCTAAAATAACTCTGAAAGGACTCTGATTTTTTTGATGTGCGTTATTTGCAAGTTTTGGATATTTTCTATTAACATTTGTTGCATAAATATATTTGCTTACTTATATGCAATAATAAAAGCAAACACTTATAAGACGCTTACTATATACATTAATACATTTAACACTCCCAATAACTTTATGAGGATTTTAGCTTTGAGGGTACAAGGCAAGAACAGGGTAAGGAACTGCCAGTGTCACACAGCTAGAAACCAACAGAGATCAAGACTGAGGGCCAGTTATTCCAGTTGTGGGGGCCAGACTCTTGACACCAAACCATGCTGCTTCACTGGAACCCTCCTGGAAAGAGGCATGGTGGTTTGGAGGGGAATAAACCTGAGCAGATAATCAAGGGTAGAAGGGAGACTTTTCACCGAGTATTTTTTTTTTGAAACTTCAAGCTTCTTTAAAAAGTAAAGTTAATTTTTTTTTCTAGAAGTTTTAGATTTACAGAAAAATTGTGAAGATTGTGCAGAAAGTTTCCATATACCTCACATCCACTGTCTTCTTTTATTGACACAAGTATAGTACATTTGGTAATTAATGGGTGAATATTAATACATCCATTCTTAATTCAGGTTTCCTTAGTTTTTTCCTAACATCCTTTGTCTGCCTAGGATTCCTTCCATTTAGCCATCGCATTTCCAAAGATTCGTCTTGACTTGAGTTTCTCAGATTTTCCTTGTTTCTGATAACCTTGACAGTCTTGAGGATGCTTGGTCAGTATTTTGTAAGTGGTCCCTTAACTGGGATTTGTCTGATGTTTTTCTGAATAGACCGGGTTGTGGGTTTTGGGGAAGACCACAGAGGTTAAGGCAATGGCACCCCACACCAGTAACTCTTGCCTGGAGAATCCAATGGACGGAGGAGCATGGTGGGCTGCAGTCCATGGGGTCGTGAAGAGTCGGACACGACTGAGCGACTTCACTTTCACTTTTCCCTTTCATATATTGGAGAAGGAAATGGCAACCCACTCCACTGTTCTTGCCTGGAAAATCCCAGGGACGGGGGAGCTGGTGGGCTGCCGTCTATGGGGTCGCACAGAGTCGGACATGACTGAAGTGACTTAGCAGCTTTATATTATGTTCAAGATACATAACCTATTATAAACATGACTTGATCACCTGGCTGAGGTGGTGTTTGTTTCAGGTTTCTCCACTGTACTGTTACTCTGCCCCGCTTTTCTATATTGTACTGTCATTATCTGAAGCCCACACTTAAGGAGTGAGGAATGATACTCCATTCTCTTGGGGGTAGAATATCTACATAAATTATTTGGAATTCTTCTGCACAAAATGTTTGGACTTTTTAGTCATGTATTACCAAATTTTGAAAGACTCAAAAATAAATCTGCTCCTGTGTCCATCAAAAGATGAATGAATAAAGATATGTTGTGTATATATACATACACACACAATGGAACACCACTGTAAAAAAAGAATAAAATTTTGCCATTTGCAACAACATGAATGGACTTGGAAGGTATTATTCTGAGTGAAATAAGTCAGAGAAAGACAAATGCTGTGTGAAAAATAAAAAAATAAAACAAATCAGTGAGCATAACAAATAAGAAATAGATTCACAGAGGATAAACTAGTGGTAACCCAAGGAAAGAGGGAAGTGGGAGGGGAAAGATAAGGTTAGGCAATTAAGAGGTACAAACTACCATGTATAAAATAAAACTACTAGGAAATACTGTATAGCACAGGGAATATAGCCAATACTTTATAATAACTATAAATGGAATATAACCTTTAAAATTGTAAATTATTATATAACTGAAATTTATATAATATTGTCAATTATACCTCAATTTTTTAAAAATTTATTTTAATTGGAGGCTGATTACTTTATAATATTGTAGTGGTTTTTGCCATACATTGACATGAATCAGCCATGGGTGTACATGTGTTTACCTCAATTTAAAATAAAACAGATCTGTTCTTTGAACAGAGGAAAACACACACAAATGCTGAGGTGACAGCAACTATTAGGGTTAGATAGTATGTGATTTCTCCTAGAAACGGTGGTGAACCAGAGTGTGTTCAAGGCTAACTTTGCCATTCCCTACCTCTGTGATCCTGAATAAGACACTTAAGTTTCTCTTACCTCTCTTTTTCTCATCTATTAACAAGATTATTAGAAAGATGCATTAGCTAATAAAGGTAAAGAGGATCTGTATACTGTGAAGTGCTGCCAAGAGCTGAAGTGCTATGGAAGGGCCTTGGAGAACTGAGTTTGATTGAGCTGCTTCCAAACCTCCAGAATGGAGCTAGAGTTCTTTCCTCCTCAACCACTGCTGAAATCAAAGCCCAAGAAGCCAGCCCTGGCAATGGGAATTGCAGCCAGGAAAGGAACCACATGGCAGGCTTGGAACAGCATGGGGATTACATGCTTCAGCCTAGCTCGCCTTTGGGCTCTGGTGGGTTATAGGAACTTTCTAAGCCTCAAGACTCTCGTATGTAAAGTGGAGGTAACATTAGCATGTAGGGCTGTTGTGAGAATTAGATGAACAAATGCAGCTGTCTGCACCATGCACTAACTTGCTTTAGTCATGTCTGATTCTTTGCAACCCCATGAACTGCAGCCCACCAGGCTCCTCTGTCCATGGGATTCTCAAGGCAAGAACACTGGAGCGAGTTGCAAAATTTTCTCTTCCAGGGGATCTTCCTCACCCAGGAGTCTCCTATGGGACCTGCACTGGCAGGTTCTTTACCACTAGTGAGACCTGGAAAGCCTGTGCCTGGCCTAATTCTTGCAACCTTCCTCTTTTACAGTTGAGAAAATTGAGGCAATGTGACGGTTAAGCTACTTTCCCAAGGTCACCAGCTGGCTAAGTGGCACTTGGAGTTCAAGTTTGTGGGCTCTGGATCCCATGTCCCTTCCACTGCAGCACACACCCCCACTCACAGCCCAGGCTCCCTGGCCCTCTGAGACTCCTTCCCACTTCTAACCGGCTTGAGTTTTACGAGTGTGCAGGGGTGACCATGGCATCCTCAGGGCTAGAGACTACCTCCTGTGGCTCTCCCTCCCAACTGGCTGGCCTGGGGTAGAGCTGGGCTGGGAGGTCCCATAGGCAGGCAGTCACACCTGGGCCACAGGTCACACAACATTTTCCAGCAGAGGGAGCCTTTCCATCTTGGAGAATACCCACCTCTCCATCCCTGGCCATCTCCAGGGCAGCCAGAGTCCCAGGTCAAGCCATATCTCTCTAATCCTCTAGCAGCTCCTGACAGCCCTTCAGGTCACCAGCGAGGAAAGAAGCCTAGGGCCACTCTACCTGTGCCGCCCTGAGTTAACCCCTCCACTAGCATCCCAGCTTCTCCACACTCTAGCCCGGCTCCTGATGCTTCCCAACTGAGTCCCCATCAGCAGAGGCCAAGGAGCCCAGGACAAGGCCCCTGGCGGTAAAGAACACAGGCCACATCAGAGCCGCCCTGCTGCGACCCACAGACCTGGGTTTGACTCCTGACCCGGCCTCTTATCTCTGTGACCAGCTCCTCTCCAGCCTCGGTCTCCTCCACATTGTAAGATCCAATGTGATAATATCCAATCGCTACTTCCCAGGGTTGCTGTGCCGCCTAAACAGTGGGAGGCACGCCAGGCATAGAGCATGGCCTGGCTCACAGTCAGCACCTGGTAAACAGTAGCTTTTGTTACTGCGCTGGGCGGCAATGGGTAAGGAAATGGCCGAGGGGGCAGTTCCGTGGAGGAGGCCAGTGGATGTGTCTTTGGAACCCCATGGCCTCCCCTGCAAGTCCTGGATACCATTCTGGTGGTCCCTGAATGAGAACATGCACTTCTCCCAGAAGGTCATCTGGGAGACCTGCTCTCCCACATGCTCTGCATGCCTAAGCCCATTCCCAACACCGCAGCGGGCATGGCCCGCCAGCCTGGCAGACGGGCTCCTCCAGAGAGGACTGCAGGTTGACTGAACTCACTGGGATGTCAGCCAGGCTGTGGGGACTCCTGGGAAACCCTCCCCTCACTCCAGCGAAGGCAGAGACCATGTCTGTTTTCCTCACCCCTGCCTCTGTGCCTGACCCATACAGGCTCAATGAATGTGTATAGAAAAGAACCAAGTTCAGGTTCCACTAAGGT